GTAGTAGTAAAAGTATTTTCCTTAAAACCAAATTCACTGGATTTAGTGAAGTTTCTGGCATTTTGACTTTCAGCTCTTCTGCAAATTTCTGCTTGTTTGCCATGGGAGCATAAGACAAAATTCATTCTGCTTTCCTCTGATTCCTCTTCCTCTTCCCACCCTGTGTTTCACTTCTGAAATTAGAAGCTCTTCTTATCCTTCTGAGCAGAACTGAACCAAAAAACTTAGTCACTGTCCACAACAAACCACACTTCCAGATCATTGCAGGACATGCCTGTGACAGCTGATGCTCAGTGAGTGTCCAGCAGTGAGATAGCAAACATAGCAGCTGCCTAAAGAAGGAAACCACCAGGACTTTGGGGTGGGGGGAAACGTGTGTTTGTTTAAATCTCTGGTTTCTTCTCTTTTATTTTTAGTTGACTAATAATAGTGATATATTTTAATGGTACAGTGTGATGTTATGATATATGTACACACTATGGAATGAATACATCAAGCTAGTTATCATACCTTTCACCTCACATAATTATCACCTCTTTGTAGGTAAGAACATTTAAAATGTGCCCTTTGGGCAATTTGGAAATGTACAATTCATTGTTATTGACTATAGTCACTGTGCTGTGCAATAGATCTCAAAAATTTATTCCTTGTGCCTAATGGAAACTTCACCTTCTGACCCACATATCCCTAATGCCCCAATCCCCAATCGCTGGTGATCATCATTTTACTCCATACTTCCATGAGTTAGACCTTTTTCTTATTTATTTATATATTTAGAAATAGAGTCTTACCCTGTTACACGGGTAGAATGCCATGGCATCATCATAGTTCACAGCAACCTCAACTCTTGGGCTTGAGTAATCCTCCTGCCTCAGCCTCCCAAGTAGCTGGGAGTTTGGGGACTCGCTCTTGCTCAGGCTGGTCTGGAACTTCTTAGCTCAAGCAATCCACTGACCTTGGCCTCCCAGAGTGCTGGGATTACAGGTGTGAGTCACTGCACCCAGCGAGTTAAACTTGCCTAGATTCCCAGTAGTGAGATTGTGTGGTAGTGGTCTTTCTATGCCTGGCTTCCTCCATTTCTGAAGGCAGCTGAGTGAGTGAAGTAGAAACAGCCACTGATTACCTGCCTGGACTTTCCTGTGTATACTCAGGGACAGCAGACAGC